CCCCTATATCCCTAGGTACTCCCCATATTAACCCCCATAAGCTACAAGGGTCCCTTAGGGGTCCCTCCAAAAGTCCTTAGATATCAGCCTCAGCAGTATGGCTTGTGACTATGCTGGTAACTTCTTGAGCTTGAACAGCTGCCTCACGGACAAGATCCACCAAAAACAGAGCGCTTCCAAAACTTTAGGAGGTGCTTTGTTGGGGACCGTATACTAAGGACTACAATATATACTGTGGTATGTAAGGGTCCCCCATATAATCCCTATAGAACCCCATTTAAGGAGTTTAGACCCTAAACCCTAAACTCTATAAACCCCGTATACACCCCATTTTAGGAGTTCAGACTATAGCTCATGCGATGGTAGCTGATATAATTTGAGTTCCCGAGGAGCAACTGAGATGCTGCGGCCTATGGGGGGTTCGGGGTTTAGGGCTTTAGGGTTTGGGGGTTTAGGGGTTCAGGGGTTTAGGGTCTCGAAGTTAGCTGGACCTTCAGGGTTTAGGCTTTAATTGTCTTGTGTTTTTTTTTACAACCCTATTTTCGTGAGTTTGTGGGTTTAGGGCTCAGGGCTTAGGGAACCAAGGGAACAGGACATCTATGCGTATGCGCTAGTATATACACGGCCCAGACCCCCAAAGCTCACATGGAAGCCTGGAAATCTCCTAGCTTGGGCGAGGGGAATTCCTGTTTGGGTTTGGCATGCTTTGTCACTGCATCTTGCTGCAGCCCACAAAAATATTGAAGCCATAATAATGCGCAGCAGTCTATCCTAAGAGTCCCTATGTAATCACAACGCAATGTAGCCCCAGACGCTATTGCAATTCAGTGGGATCTGCAAAATTTGCACGCCCAGGCAAAGACCTCAGAAACTCCCAACTTTGGCAGACACGTTAGCCAAGATTTCTAATGGGCGAGCAGTACAATGCCTTTGTGTGCAATCCCAGTGTTGGTAGATACGTCCACATAGGAGTTGGGCAGTAAATCTTGTCTTCTACAGCGACAACGCAAGTATAGGCACAGAAACCAGAAGGGGAAGCCCACTATATCGAACGGCGTCACTTGGAGGGTCAGGTGGATTAAGTAAATACGTTAAGAATGGGGATAACTAGGGGCACTCCATGACTTGTAGTGGTAATAGGTAAACTAAATAAGTCATATGAACATCATTACGGCATAAAACCCTAAACCCTAAACCTTAAAGTCTAAACTACCCTAATCTCTGAACCCTAATCCCTAAACCTCAAACCCCATATTCTTCCTTGAGAAAATCCACAGCCCCGGCATTGTGGCCACGTAGGCGCCCTCATCACTAAACCCTAACCCTAAACCCTATACCCTGAACCCTAAAATCCCTAAACCCTAAAAACCCTAAGTTATGCAGAGCCGAGATGGTCCTTGCAAACCCTTTGGTGCCGCCACTTCCCCCCTAGTTTAGGGTTTAGGTGTTTTTGGGGGGGTTTAGGGTTTAGGTTTTAAGCAACAAATATAGGGATAATGGAAAAGAACATGGACACTACAGGGATTATAGGGCTTGGATAGCGTTATATAGGGAGAATGGAAAAGAACATGGAAACTACTACTATAATGGGGTTATATGGGGTTTAGGGTTGAGGGTTTAGGGGTCTAGGCCATTTAAGGGTATAGGGTTTAGGGGTTTACGCTATTTAGGGGTTTAGGCTTTAGGGGGTTACGCTATTTAGGGGTATAGGGTTTAGGTAGGCTTACTCAGATGCACAATGAGTTGGGAGGTCTTTTCGCACGAGTAATCCAACCGATGTCCTCGCCACTATCACTAAGGCTTGTCTGGCAGAGTTGTCCTTGGCGAAATGGGGGCGTCTCACAAGGCTCGGGGCTTAGGATTTTGAATTCGAGGTGTGATAGTGCGAAAGGTACCATCAGAGCCGTCCACATCTCAAATACAATGTGCGGACCTTTTCAGGATTCCAATGGGGGTTTGGGTCCTGGGCTGAGGGCTGACTCAAAATTTGCTCAGCTTCTCTCTTCAGTTGCAGCGCTGCACCTGAAGCAGGGTGTGTGTTGTGGGTCCGGAAGTTGCTAGCATAAGAGCGCCCATGTACATGCAGACATACCTGCGCATGTACATACAAAAGCTAAGCTCGAGGTTTTGGTATAAATCGCATACTAGAAGTTGGGAGGACCCCCCACCCTGTAATAGTGGTATAATAGGAATATAAGAGGACCCTAATATATCAAAATATATATATATATACATACATATATATATATATACATATATATATATACATATATGAGCGTTCGCCGAAACTCCTTGTATAATCCGATGCCATGGACAATTTGGGGGGGTCCTATCGCTTTTGGGGGTTTGGGCGTAGGATACAAGGAAAGGTATCGCTTTTGGGGGTTT